ATAATTATTCATAACTGTAAAGATGTACCTGCCCTCATTGATGATAATAGCAGACATGCATTTTATTTTGAAAAAGAACATAATTAAGTATTACTACGAATTTTCAAAACATATTAACTTTTGAGACTTAAAACTAGTTATAGCAATGACAGAAAATGTAGTAGTTCAAGGATTAACTTATTTCAATAGAAAATGATCAATGTCATTAAATTACCGTAGATTGAGAGGATAATAATCTGTTGATCGATCAACCCAGTTTGTGGAAACAACTGTTTCCCAAGAAAGGATTAGGGTTCGACGGGAACGATATGAAAGTAAAGAGCAACAAGTGACCTCAAAATGGGCGAACATAAAAATACGAGCGGTTGATCGAGAGTTTTACGCGGCTCAATCGAACTCAAAAAGGAGAGAGGGATCATTCGGAAAGGGAGATATGGGGTTAGAGTAAACCAAGAGGTAAAAAGGGTGAGAGCCGATACGGTCGAGGGTAGTACAGATAGATAAATACTTAGAAGTCACGCTGCTTTTATTGACCATTTCTGACGTGATCGACGACTACAAAGAGAGTGTACCCTTCGTGCATGTCCTGCTTTCATCGGAATTAAAAGCACAAACAGCAGGATTACACTGTTATGTATTTGGAGTTAAAAGATTTAAGTTAAATGAATCTCTTTCCGATATAATGAAAATCTCATGAACGTATTTGGATTGTAAATGCCTGATGACACATCTTATATGATGAGACACAATATAAATCATACAAGGTCGTATCTTTTCAGATTATACAGGATCAAATGATCTTTGTAGATCATAGAGAACCACATCATCTTTGAAGATCATACAGGGCCATATAGTCTTTGTAGGTCACACAAAATCACATGATCTTTATAAATCATACAAGATCACACGATTATAAGATATTAAATGATCTAACGAATTAAAGAAATCATACTGTATAAATTGTTTAACGTTAAGTAAAGGCAACAGATGTAGATGTACATTGTAAAACAATAAATGGGAATATTTGATGACAAAATTATGGTAATAGAAGGAAATGTTTGATTCAAGCGGTTTCTACATTAGTTCCAGTACCAGCCGTCTAAGCAGGAGCTCGCCACTGTCCAGTAACCCTTTCACTACCACAAACATCCCTCAACCCCTTAGTGCACACGGATACAACTCCACAGACAAGGGTGATTTTTCTTTGGAACACCTACACAGCTTCACAGCATCTCACCGCCACGCGCACAGACTCGACACAAGCGTACAGTGGGGTTGCAAGTATCCTCGTTTCGCCCTGAAAGGGGTAGCTACCCTCTCTTTTCTCGAGGAGAGCGCATGACCAGAATCATTTGCGCTCTTCCTCGCACGGCTTTTATTGAAACAACATCAAATAAGCCGCTTTTTCCTGCAAACTACCAAATTATCATAATTTACAATATTCAACAAGTCTCGATTAATTCGAGCAGCTTTAAATTCATCAAAAGCTGATCAAACACAGTTAATTCGTTATAATCATATCGTAATCGCCGTTATAAAAGTGAGAAGTGATTATTTTGTTTTTTGAGAAAATGAAAATATCCTAATAAGCCATTGCAGCCTCCATAATTTAGCTGCACTCGTAGGGTGCCTATATGCAGCCAGCATCGCCGATATCAGTGTGTACCATCGCCTCGGAAAGCCTCCCCGTTGCACCTCGATGTACTCGTACAGAGGTGCACACACACACCACGGTAAGTTGATAAAGTAGAAAAGCTCTCCGTTCCTGTTCGACCAGTTGCAACCCGTCTGTTCGTCCCTTTCGTCTGGCACACCGTCGCGAAGCATACGAGCGCGTGGTCAGCTTGTAAGGAAGCTCTTCGTTCTTCCAACGGTGTCTATTCTATCGTTCTCTTCGTCTTCATCCACACCATCCGCGCGGTGCAAGCTCTCGTTTCCTCTGCTTGCCCATCCGCGAGCTCCGTCCTCGTCTTTTAAACGCCTGGCCAGTCGAGTAGATCTCGGACGAGTTCGGGGATGTTCGTGTCGTTTGCACTCGTCCTTGTCGCTCCTTGTGGATGTCACGGTGCTTCGTCTTCCTCTCGCAATTTATCCCCTTCTACCGGCGTAACCTGTTCACCCACCACCGACGATTCCGTCGCAAGCTTTCACGATCGCGATCCTCCTCGTCGCACAAACGGTTCCCTCGTTGATATCATCTTCCTCTGAACTCATTCAGGGACGGCTATTCGACTATCGTTACCCCATGCAATCGGAAGTCTGACCATTCAAAATTCACCTTCCTTAAATTTAGCTTCTAGAAATGTTGAGAAACTGATTTGAAGAAGATATTAGCTTGATATTAGCTTGATCGGATACAAAGGTAGAACATGATTATTTGATGAAGTTGATATCTACATCGGAAGTCGTTCAGGTATAGCTATTGGACTATCTTACCACATGCAATCCGAAGTCTGCCTATTAAGAGCTCAAGTTTCTCAGTTTCCACAAGTAGTAATATTCGTAAATTGTATAAAAAATGAAGTTGTCAAATGATATCTCTAATTAGATGAAGGTTTATTCTATCAAGTTAAGGTAGATCTTAAATCATAAGGCAAATGAAATTTCTCTGAACTCATTCAACTTCTTCTGACCTGTCGTTACTTTAGGTAATGAAATTTCTTCAAGTCCAATTACTTGGAAGATTTTTTAGTTTTAACGTCTAGAAATATTGAAAAATTGTAATAAGGAAGATGGCATATATTTAAGTGGACACTAAAGTAGGTCTTAATTTCTGGCTAAATATCTACCTAAGAATTCAATAAGACCAACGAACTTCCTTCGAGTTTGACTATCAGTCCATCAATTTCTTAATTCTAGCAACTGATAAGATGAGGAAAGTGTATAGAATTGGAAGTTGCCGAATAGTGTAGTCATGTAGAATTTGATTCTTGAGTACAGCTGATATCATCTTCGTGTGAACTTATTAGACGTTGCAGATCTATCGTTATCTTATACGACAAATTTCTTCCTGAACATTAAGAAGTCATACTCCTGAATTCTAGCAACTGATAACATTAGGAAATTGTATCAAAACAAAAGCTATTGAATGATACCACTTTAACTCGGTATTAAGATAGATCTAATTTCTAATTAAAGTTGGCATAATCGTGATCTAAATCATTCTTCGATGGATGCTGACGTATAGTTACCCCAAACAAGGAAATTCCGACCTCGACCATTCAGAATTCAATCTTCTTAATTCTACTACAAAAATTAAGAAAGTGTAATAAGAAAGAAGCTGTTTAACTGGGTACTAAACTGAAATCTAATTTTGAAGAACAACTGATATCATCTTTGTCTGAACTTATTTAGGGCTGCAATGAAGTGCCTTCGAACTTGACGACCAAGTCTTCTATTCGACTACTTCAAATCTCTCGACAGGAGTACGTTCTGATAAGATGAAGAAGTCTTCGATAAGATGGGGAAGCATTCGATAAGATGAAGAAATTATACTAAGACAGAAGCTGTCGAACATCAATGTGGCTATGCACTGAACGAAATTCTAATTTCTAAATACATTTTACATCATCTTCGTCTGGTCCACATAGAGCTGCTAATCTGTTATCGGCTGACACAACGAAGTACTTTTGAATCCCATGACCAAAAAGTCCATTATTCAACCAGTTTGAATTCGACAAGACTTCATGAAACTCTGATAAGATGAAGAAGCATGCAGTAAGATAAAGAGGCATTCGATAAGACGAAGACGCATCCGATAGGACGAAGAAAGTGTTTGAAGAAGCAATCGAGTATCAATTCAAGTAAAGGGCTCGAGTAAAGGACTCTCGAGTAAAGGGCAAGGGTATTAAAAAAAAAAGGTGAAGATGCAAAGAGTCTGGCGTAAATCTTGAATTTTGGAAGCGAGTGGCGCGGATCGTAGTGGCAAGGGGCGGTCGTGTTCCGGTGGTTCGTCTCGTTGGTTCTTTCTCGCACGACGAGCGCATCGGCATAAGTGAGTCTCTGTCGTACGTGCAGCTTCACTTTCTCTGTTTCTTTCGTTGGTCGGGTTGGTTCGCACTCTCGCGGCTTTCGCAGTCCGGCAGGAGAAGCAAGCGGCGAGCTTTCGAGTTCGAACGAGAGAGGAGCCACCGTCCGGGGCAGCGGCCAAGAGGGGCTACCGGCTTGCCTCCGCTGCTGACCGGCGCGCGTATTTCTCTCCCTTCGGCTTACAGCATCCGCCGGAGCTTCTCCTCTCTCCGCCTACGCGGTGCGAGTGTGCCGTGTGCGCCAGTGCGCCCGCAAGCCCGCAAGTTCGCGCTCCGCCACGCAGCCCAAGCTCTCTCTACCCGCGCGCTGATC